TTTTTATTTATTCTTTGTTTTTTTTTGAAGTCAAGTCAAAAAGAAAAAGTATTCGAGTTCGAAAATAGGAACTACCCCTTAAGACCTCATAAAAAGAGTTTCCACGAAGGCGAAGGATGAAAGCAAGAGGGTATTCTAATTACTCATCTGCAAATCAGCCCCTCCCATAGGTTATTTTCTAAACGAATAAGGAATTGTAGGAATGATATCTTGATCCAATTTGAAAAAGCAAACAAGAAATCCAAGGCCCTAAAATCCGAAAAATACATATTTTTTGATTTAAACAAAAGGATTCGCAAATAAAAGTGCTAATGCTACAACCAACCCATAAATAGTTAAAGCTTCCATAAAAGCTAGACTAAGCAATAGAGTACCGCGTATTTTCCCCTCTGCCTCGGGCTGTCTTGCGATACCCTCTACGGCTTGACCCGCAGCAGTCCCTTGACCAACTCCAGGTCCAATAGAAGCAAGCCCTACGGCCAATCCAGCAGCAATAACGGAAGCAGCAGAAATCAGTGGATTCATGATAAGTTCCTCATACCAACAAAAATAAATGGTTAATGATACACTCAACCAATGAATTATGACTTAATTATTCCATCAATAGGATTCATCCTGTCAAAGGAACTAAGAACTTCGAGTTTAAGTAAGAATATCATATATTCAGGACTCCGATATCTGTTTCTATACACAGAATTTTTTTGAATCCATAGAACTTTCGTTCTTCCATTTCTTGGTTCCGAACTGTTATTTCCAGTCTTACATCTTTTCTTGATTTCATCTCTTTATTCATCCAATTCACAGCCATAAGAATACGGAAAGACTTCTATTGAAACTCGCACACAACAGTAGGGCAACTAAAATATATCTTTAGTTCATAGAGAACCAGCCAATATCTAATATCACATATACATGTCTTTCTTCCATAACGTAAACCATTGGATTCAATCGGATTCGAGAATCAATCCATTTTTTTAGAAATCCGATTTTTAGAAATTCTTTTCTCCTTTCCCCTCTTTTTTTATTTAATCAAACGTTATATCTATATCATATCTTATTCAAATTCTGATTTGAATAAGAAGATTGACTGACTAATATAAAAGTAAATCTTCGTTACGGAAAGGTAGGATATTAAGCGGACGAAAGAAAAATTAGGTTTAGGAAAAAGATCTTTTGGATCTCTTTCCTTTTTTGTTTTTACAACTCTCTAATATCGTAATCTTTTATTTTTTTGTTCCCATTTTTTTCTATCATATAGAAAGTCTTCTATATTTATATTCCTTAAGGAAATCATCGTGAACTACTGCTTTGCGCTAAGGGAAAAAAGACTATTTCAATGGTGACCCTCCATGGATTCACCTATATAAGCCGCAGCTAAAGTTGCAAAAATAAGAGCTTGAATACCACTTGTAAATAATCCAAGGAACATAACAGGGATAGGAACCACTGAAGGTACTAAAGAAACAAGAACAACAACTACTAATTCATCCGCTAAGATATTCCCGAAAAGTCGAAAACTAAGTGACAAGGGCTTTGTGAAATCTTCTAGAATGTTAATGGGTAAAAGGATTGGGGTTGGTTGAATATATTTCCCGAAATAACTTAATCCCTTTTTGGTAAGACCCGCATAGAAATACGCCACTGACGTGAGTAAAGCCAAAGCAACAGTAGTATTTATATCATTCGTGGGTGCGGCTAACTCTCCATGAGGTAAGTCTATGATTTTCCAAGGTAAAAGAGCTCCTGACCAATTGGAAACAAAAATAAATAGAAAGAGAGTTCCAATAAAAGGAACCCAAGCGCCGTATTCTTCTCCAATTTGAGTTTTACTCACATCTCGAATGAATTCAAGAACATATTCGAAAAAATTCTGACTCCCAGTCGGAATGATTTGTGGGTTCCGAACAGCTATAGTAGCTGAACCTAATAAGATAGCAATTACAACCCAAGAAGTAATAAGTACTTGTCCATGGACTTGGAAACCCCCTATTTGCCAATAAAAATGTTGGCCTACTTCCACACCGGATATATCGTATAGTGTATTGATGGAACATGATAGCACATTCATATTGTCCTCTGGAAAAAAATGGAACTTTAAACAAAATTATTTTGATTCAACCATCTCTTTGTCTACTTGAATCGGATCTTTTGAGTATCAACTAATATTTTCAATACTAACTAATCACATAATATCTCCAGTTATTTTGATACATTTTTCAAAATAAATAAAAAATAACCGATTCTATCCGATTTTCGAAGTAAAAGTTATTTATCTTATTATTAATTAAGGATTTCTTATATAGCTAGAACGGCCCTCACAAATTGCGAATACTAATTTGTTAAGAATTAAGCGGATTGAAGATATAGCGTCATCATTCGCGGGAATCGAAATATCTGCAAGATCGGGATCACAATTTGTATCGATTAAACAAATTGTTGGAATTCCCAAAGTGAGGCACTCTCGCAGGGCCGTATATTCTTCATGCTGATCAACGATAATTACAATATCGGGTAACCCCGCCATATATTTAATCCCGCCCAGATATGTTTGCAAGCGAGATAATTGTCTTTTCACCACAGCCGCATCTCTTTTCGGCAAATAGTTGAGTCTTCCCATTTTTTGTTCCATTCTTAAGTCCCTGAACTTATGAAGTCTCGTTTCTGTAGTCGACCAATTTGTTAACATCCCGCCGAGCCATTTTTTATTAACACAATGACACCGGGCCCTTATTGCAGCCCGTGCTACTGAATCAGCTGCCTTATTTTTGGTACCAACAATCAAGAATTGTTTTCCTCTACTTGCTGCATCAAAAACCAAATCGCAGGCTTCAGATAAAAAACGAGCAGTTCTAGTAAGATTTGTAATATGAATACCTTTACGTTTTGCCGAGATATAAGGTGCCATTTTAGGATTCCATTTCCTAGTACCATGGCCAAAATGAACTCCTGCCTCCAGCATCTCTTCCAAGTTAATGTTCCAATATCTTCTTGTCATTTCTCCCCACACCCCCCCTCATTTCAAAAAAAAGCGACGAGGAGCCTTGAACTGAAATAAATAATTGTTCCGACGGAACCTTCTCTTCTACCGTAGATTGGCCGTAGATAGACGCCCAAGCCGTTTGTCTTTTCTATTGCTTACTATTTTGATTACCAAATCAAATGACTGCACCAAATCCAGATAGTCAAAAAGAGGAATCCACTTTTAAGAATCATTAAATCCTATAAACGATTGTTCCGCTCTATCATGGAAGTTCTTTGAAAGAAAAGAATCCAATAATTTTCTGTGATGAAACAAAATATCTCTCATTTCCCCCTCGAATAGATTGTTTTTTATTTCCAAAGGGCTCTTGGTATATTCTTTTGAAGGGGGCACTAATCTTTTCAATCCGGTACCAACAGGTACCATACCCCCCAAAACAACGTTTTCTTTCAGGCCCTTCAACCAATCGATTCGACCCCGGAGAGCTGCTTTTGCTAAGACTCGAGCCGTTTCTTGAAAACTCGCTTCAGATAGAAAACTTTGAGTATTGAGAGATGTTCTTGTTATTCCCAATAAGAGGGCTCGGTAACAAACTGCTTCTTCCAACGCGCGCCCCATTCGTTCCGCCCGCAACAATCCAATTAGTTCTCCGGGTGAAAAAACATTAGACATTCCATCTTCTGAAACCAAGACCTTTGATGTTATTTGACGTACAATAATTTCGATATGCCTATTATGAATCTGCACCCCCTGAGATCGATAAACCTTTTGGATCTTATTAACCAAAGAGATACGACCTTGCACGATAGTTAGCTCAGCACCAATCAAGAATGCCCACGGCATTCCAAGAATTTTTGTTATACGCTCGTTCCAACCTTCAACCCTCTTTTCTAGATTCATTGATATTGAATCAATCGAACGCACCTCTAACACCTGCTCCACTTTTGGAAGCCCCTGGGTTATATCACCAGATCTCGATTTTTCATATATAAATGTAATTAAAGTATCTCCTTGGTACATTAGTTCCCCATAATGACCATGAACAGTTGCTCCTGTAGTGGCCAAATAAGGCTTAGCTGATCGTATTACTACAGAGTCAACTTGAACAAGTATAATTTGACCCGATTTTAGGTGTGATGCGTTTTTGACTATACATATATTTTCACAAATAAGCTGCCCAAGATTCATTATTGTAGATGTTTCTTGACAATAATTGAGATGAAGAAAATCCCAACTCAAATTGAAAATAATGTTACTGCGTGAATCGGGGTTCGAAATTTTCTCATTTTCATCCATTAGAAAATACTTAATTACTTGAAAAGTCTGTTTTAAATTCTCAAGTTCCAAATAGTTATTTACCAAGATCTGATTATGAGTTATTAAATGGTAAAATGAATAAAGATTTGTAAGTAGAAAGGCTGTTCCTAAAGGCCCCATCGAATTCTTAATTGGAATTCGAGGATCTTTTGTAATTTGAATTGATTCTTGTATCACATTGTGATATTTTACATCATTGAATGGACCCATTCGAAAACAATTGGATGATGACAAAATTATTAACGACTGTAATCCCGTATTTCTATTCAATAACATATGAATAGTTCTTTGATTTTGATTAAGGGGTTGTTGAATTCTTGCCTTGGAATAAGAATAAATAGAAGAAAACGGATTGATATTGGTGAAATCTGATCCATTAGCAGAGAGAAACCCTGAGCCCGATGGATCATTCCTTTTTCCGATATATGAAATAGTGAATTTTGCCAAGTCGATTCTTAGGAAATGTCGAATCAAACCATTTGCCCTTATTTCAACAAGGGAAGCACGGGCTTCTTGACTAGAAGAACTTTTTTTGTCTTCGGTCCAATTCAATACTAAACAAGTCCGAACTAATTGAATATTTGTATCAGAAATTCCTCGAATTGGTTTACCGTTTCCAGAAAGGATATAATTGACAACTTGAAGTTGGGCACTATCCCTTTCCTGCGCCAGATCCGGGTAAAAAAGAGTTGCTAAAGTTATA